AAGAAGTTAAAGGTACCCCAAACCACATGAAGATAAACTGACAAATATTTTGAAGAGATACCAGAAGACCACAGAGAAGATGGGAGTCAGGCTACTGGAGAGCACCCCATCATTCTCACCAGGAATGCATGCCAGAGCACAGAGATTTGGGGTTTCCATAGCAAACCGGTAAAATAATTGTATTCTGGCAGTAATATCTGTTTCACAAAATAAATAGTGGATTAGATTTTTCAGCCATGAGCCCTAGAAATATGAAATTGGATGATTAAAGGAAATGAGAACCAAGCAGGTAACACAGCCCAGCCGACAGTGTAAGGTTGGAGACAAATTTACAACCGCAATAAATGCCTTGCTGAGTGTTTTCTTTAGAGGAAATTGAGATGTGACTGGCTGGTGCTGGGCATGGGCAGAGATGCACTATATTTCAGCGTGGGACACCATGTGGACAGAAATGTGGTAGGGAACATCACTAAGACTTTTCCCAGAAGATGGGCAGAACAGTTCAGTTCCATTCAACCATTCATTTGCTGAAAGTCAGGTCCACATTGTAGATGGTAAAGATGGGAACATACTGAAAAGTATTCTACACATCAGATTAACTGAATGTTTCCTTTGCCATAGTATAATAGAGATACAAAATTAAACTAATAAAAATCATTTATTGTCTGCTTTCCTATAGGAAACTCAGCACCTCGTGTTTTTTGGAGACAGCAGGATATTTTCCTAAAGTTCCTTTTGATTATATACAAAATCTCCCAGTCTTATGCTATTTGAAACTTATTTTATAACTTATTCATTACAATTATTCTCACTTAATTAGTTACTTCCTTGCCCTGTAGTCATTTAAGTGTTATGTTTTGGAATGCTATAGATAGTGTACATTATAGAACTAAGGTCAGGACTTGCTATTTCCTCTGTTTTTAACAAAGCAAGGCTTTAATGAGGTATTTGGCTGATATGCTACATAGCACAGAACTTAGAAGACACATAGAGCTTTCATTTTAAAGTGAAAATCCAGACTTCTAATAATGCCACAATACTTTGGCAGTCTGGACTGTTGAGAGAAGAAAAAATCATTTCTATCTTCAACTTTACAGTGATGTTATTCTTGACTAGGAAGGCACATTTTGATGAGAGCCTTTCCATTTTGAACTCAGGGAAAAACTTAAGTGTAAAAATAAACTCAAAGAACTGTAGCAGCATTTCATTTGTATTTCTGATCCAACTCGAGCACCTCTAAAATGGAGAGATTCTACCATAAGATGTGTAAAAGTTTATGTGAGAAAAATCAACACATGTACAATAGCACACTGTGTTCATCCATTTTGCTAACATTCTATGTAATAAGCTATCATAAATCTGTCATGCTTAATTTAGTGCAGATGTTTATAAATATTTTAATGAAACAGCTGTGTGCAGCACTTCACCACACCAAGAACACTACTAACACCTATGGAAGGCGTAGCTGAACTGCCATATCTACCCCTTGGCCTACAGAGACTCCCTGAGTAACAACAAATATACAGATGATTAATGAGCAATATAAAAACAACACTAGTGAGATTCTGAAGATGTGGCACGAGAAGCATGAGGAGACGTTTCCATGGGTGGTTGTCTTGTGTGACTGCTTCAAAAGAGAGTTAAAATGAGTTAGAAGGAAAATAAGAATGAGAGTCACCTGGAGAATAAAGAATAGAGAATGCAAAAGAAGAATACAGAAAAAGTGTGAAGAAAAAAATTCCCAAATCTATAATTTATCATTATATGGATATTTTACTAGCTGACTCAAATGCAGATACTTTAGAAAGAATGTTTGAAGAAGTAAAGAAAATTTTCCTTTGTTGGGGATTACAAATTTTCCTGAAAACATACAAAGAGCGGATTCTATTAATTATTTAGGATATAAAGTAGGCCTACAAAAAATTAGACCGCAAAAGGTGCAAATTAGGAGAGATCGATTACAGACTCCTAATGACTTTCATAGATTATTTGGAGACATTTCCCATCTACGAACTATTGCTGGGGTTAAAAAAAAATTTATGAACTGAGTAATTTGTTTAAAACCCTAGAAGGTGACAAGGACTTACATAGTCCAAGAGAATTATCACCTGAAGCTGAGAAAGAATTGGCCTTGGTAGAAAAGAAAGTACAGGAAGGACATGTGGATTGTGTGGATCCAAAGCTCGATTGCATTTTGGTTATTTTACCCTCTAGGCATTCTCCTACAGGAATTTTAATGCAGAGGGAAGATATTATATTGGAATGGATATTTCTACCAAATAAACAGAGTAAAAAATAAAAAACTTATGTGGAAAAGATCTGACTTGATTTTAAAAGGAAAATTGAGACTTTGTCAATTAGCAGGAATAGACCCAGCAGAAATTGTTGTACCTTTAACTAAGGAGGACATTGAAAAAATATGGGCAGAAAGTGAACCTTGGCAAAAAGTTTGTGGTAATTTTTTAGGAGAGATTAAATCAACACTCTCAGAACCATCTCTGCCATGGTTAAAGGATTAGAAACTGCCCTAATCCTCCCCGTTCCCTCAAAAGAAAACCCCTGGACTCGGTGCACATAGCAATTAATGTAACACATCATGTTTAATGTGTCCATGACTTACCCCAGTCTCTAATGAGTGTGGAAAACTTCTCCCATCCCTCAGAAGTGTTTTGACCACCAATTTCCAGACCTTCCATCAAGAATAACTTCAACACTACTGTCTGTCAGCTTCTCCTAGCCAGAATGGCTAGATTCAGAAACTTCTTCCAGTATTTTTAAAATGACATCACTTAGATCTGTCCTAGAAGTCATCATGTTTTGAAACAGATGGTCTCAACCTCCCTGGAGACAATACTTACCTAAGAGCTCTCTCTATAGATGGACAGCTCAGTGTACATGGGCTCTCTAAAAATTACCTCGTGGTTGAAAGGAAATAATGAAAACAGTATAGTTGAAATAACATGAATTAGTCAGTTGCTTCTGGGAAATAAAAAAAATAAATAAAAACCATGGTGGTCAAAAACAGCGTAGCTTTCTCCAGAGCCTATGAAGAGATTAAACCGATTGTAATAAAATAACGCAACTGGGCTCTGCAGACTCCTGTTGTGTGCCTGTATATTATGTGCCTAACCCTTCTAAACATCCCACCTTATCTAATCTTCAAATCACAAATAGCTTGCTCAGTGTGTAGTGATATCACAGCTTCCTTGCAAGCACTTTATACTTTAAAATTGTCTAATTCAGTCGTATGTTTACTTTAGTAATTACTGGTAATTTTGAGAAGCTACTTCATTCTTAATATTAGGGAAACTCACATACTTAACGTCAGATTCTTATGAACAAGACAATCAATTTGATGAACTAAGCTGAGTCCTTTTATAAATAACTTGTAAATTTTTTTTCATTGAATACAGAAATTTTTAATTTTATACTATCCTGGAGCTTTGTTCCGAGATAAAATTAAACTATGCATCTTTAACTTTTGGGAGCTTGTAGATTTGGCATGGAATGTCTGGGGCTATTTTTCCCACTTCCAATGTATTATACTTTTTGCAAACTTCACTTGCTGCATATATATCTTAAGGTAATTTCATTCTGGCTGGTGAAAAGGGTGACTCTTCTGGCCACGTGCAAACTCTGAAGATGCTTCTTCCTGCTCCTGCTCAGCGTTCACAGTTCTTTCTTGGTTTGGGGGAGGTTGTTCAATGAGCGGCATCTAGGAAAAGGCCCAGAGAAATCCTGAGGATGACTAGCGCTCTCTTTCTACTGAGTACTTTGTAGCCATAGTGTTGTGTCTCACATGTTCTGCTGCTTTTGTTTCTCTGTACTTCAGACTTGGTCTCGTCAACTCAGGAAACAACCAAGCTCCTTTGGGGTTCCTCCTCTGGAGCAGTTATTAATTGTGTGAATCAGCTTGGCTAGTCTGTGGCATAGCTTGTAACCTTTTCTTGGAAAGGCCTATAAAGGGATTTCTACAGAAGCACGCAGCACTGGAATCAGTACAGTGAACAAGGTGTGCCTTCACCAACAAAGATAGGAACAACCAGATTAGTTGAGGGTAAAAAGAACAAGAAATGTAGACAGAATCTCCGTCGCCTCTCCTTGACCTGGGGTGTCTCTGTTTTCCTGCCCTTGGACATCTGGGCTCCTGGTTCATGGACACTGGAACTGCACAACTCATGATCATGGCTTTTCTGGTTCTCAGACCTTCGCACTCAAAATGAGAGTTTGGCCATTGACTACCACGGTTCTCAGGCCTTCCAACTCAAAGAGATTACCTTACTGAATTTGGACCCAGGCTTAATTTACCATCAGCTTGTCTTTTTCTCCAGCTTGCAAATGAAAGATGTTGATATTTTTTTACTTTTATAACTACATGAACCAATCCTCATAATAAACCAAATCATTAAAATTTCATCTATGTAAATTCCTTTTCTATACTTACCATCTATCTATTATCTATCTATCTACCTACCTACCTACCTACCTACCTACCTATTTACCTACCTACCTATCATCTATACCCATTCATCCATTAGGTCCATTTCTCTGCAGAATTCTAATGCGTCCTCCCTACAACCTTACCTGACAACTGTGCAGTGATAGGCTGTGGTTCTTAAGGGTCTTAGCTTGTTTCTATTTTCTGTCAGAGATAACAACTGAAGATGGTAATTCATGTGTTTTATTTTTAAGTTATTTTAGGCAAGGGACATATTTATTTCTCATTACTCTTGTTTAAAAGCCAAAGTCTCTGACTTTTGGTCACTTTATGCCCATTCACATTTGGTCAGTTGTCATTGAGTTCTCAGCCACAATTGGGACAGCTATACCACTACTCTCCCAAGGCTCAGGCACCATTGAGGGGAAAAAAGGAAGAATAATTCTGTGTGTCACAAGTTGGGGAAAACTAGAGTGAAGCACTGTCTCCTGGACATGACCAGCCCGCTACACTCATGAATTCACGGCAGCTGTGGTTGCCTGCACAAGACCTGCACAAGATCAAGCCAGTCAACACAATAGCATAGAGGTAGAGGTGGTTTATTAGCCCCCACCCCTAACTAAGGCGCTATCAACAGTCGATGGCTTCTGAAGGAGGGTGACTCAATGGTCTTCAAGGGTATGGTCCCAAGTAGATGAACAATGCCACAGTGTGGGGAAAACTGGAACCTACAATGACAAGATGGTAGAACATTAAGAAGTGACTAAGTGAGCATATAGCAACTATGACTACATACACAAGACCAATACAAGATCAAGTCAGCCAAAATACCAGCATGGATGGAGGGGCTACTCACACAGTCCCACCCCTAGCAGAGAAGCTATTGACAGTTGATGATTCCTAGGGGAAGGGAGGGTCACTTTTCTTCAGGGATGTGGGAAGAGACATCTGTCTCCTTCCACAACACAGGAAGGGTTAGTAATTCTTGCACCTGGAGTCCTAATACATAACTGGACACCTTAGGGCTTGGTACTACTTCTTCTTTGAAGGTTTCTTTAATCCATGCCCCTTATTTCTGACAATTTATACCCTAAGTAGTAGAGGACCCATACATTTGAGAAGTGAAAGAAGTTGCTTAAGAGGAACAGGGATGAGAGAGCGTTAAACAAAGAAGGTTCCAGTGTTCAGTCCAGGAGCCTCTTCCTGGTCTAAGGCTTTAATACTTGCTTTGGATATTCTTAGTTAAGGTTTATATTGCTGTGAAGAGACACCATGACCTCAGCAACTCTTATGAAAGAAAGCATTTAATTGGGGCATGCTTACTGTTTCAGAGGTTTAGTCCTTTGTCATCATGGTGGCATGCAGGCAGACATGGTGCTGGAGAAGGAGCTAAGAGTTCTATATCCAGATTGGCAGGCATCAGGAAGAGAGAGATACACTGGACCCAGCTTAAGCATTTGAAACTCCAAATCCCACCCCCAGTGACACACTTCCTCCAAAGCCACACCTACTCCAACAAGGCCGCACATCCTAAAACCATTCCCTAAGTATTCAAAAATATGAGCCTATGTGGGTCATTCTTATTCAAATCACCACAAGTATGGTAACCAGATTACTAGTTTTAATTATATCTAGCTGGAGACAGGCTAGTACCAAGGTAAAAGTTGTAAACAGAACTCACAACTCTTCCAGACCCTTACAGATACCCTCATAGGCATCCATGACCTTGGTTAGTGACTGGATCTTTTGTGATGAGCAATGCTGGTGAAATTTAATTGAAAAGTTCAGCATTTTTCCTGGTGTGTTAAAGTTGTGTGTCCTGAGACTCTCCCTCAGCTAAAGCAAATTGTCTAGAAGGCTTGAAAGTCTATGTTTCTGAAGAGGAGCTTGCCAGGATTTAAAAAACTGTTCTTACCAGCTTAGAGTCCCAGAGCCCTGAAGTGTTAGTCATTTATTTTGCTTAAATCTTAGCTACCACAACCCCCCTACCTGCTGTCTCCTAAATATTCCACGTTCTTCTTTTTTGGCCATTTTACTGAAGAGGCATCCACCATGATTTCCAGTGGTGGAGCCCATGACAAACCTGGCGGTGGAGCCTGGGTCAATCCCTCCACTGTGATTTGAATAGAAATGGCTATTGACTATCACAGTGCTTAATAGTCAGGCTTCAATAGATGGGGACCGAGCTCAGACAAGATCCACGAGCTCAGACAAGATCCGTGAGTCAGAGTTCAGAATCCAAGAATCCAGAATCTAGAATAAGAATCTAGAATTTAGAATCTAGAATCCAAGATTTGATGAACTCTGTTTTTCTGGGAATTCAAAAGAAGTCCTCAAGACTAGGACTGAAGAATCCAGGGAAGATGAAGAAGGGAGAGATAACCACTGGCTACTTAAGCAAGTTTGGCTGTACAAGACATGGGATTAATGACAACAGCTAGATTCTAGAGGCTATGTAGAACCTGAATCAAGTCTCGTGGGCCAGGGAGATGAGTTGACTTATAAGGTTCACTGTACTCAGTCTGTCTCCTGTGGTGTTGACTTTTCGGCCAGCCTGTGCAGATCTGTCTGCTGGACCTGGGACCTGAGGATCTAAAAGGGTGGGGCAGACCACAGTCCAGTGCTATGGACAACCTTACTTCAGTTCCAGTGTACTTTATAAATAAACACGGGCAATATTTATATAGTTTAAAATGTTTATAAATAAAACAAACAAAAAATCAATGATCCGAGGAAGGTTGAGTTCAGAAAAACATGATCAGAAAAACACGTAAATAAACGTCAGTAAGCACATAATAAATATTAACAAAGCAACCCTTTCCCAGAACTTTCTCAGGATAGACCAATTTAAACATAATTGCCTGGCACATACTACATATTACATGCAGGAAAGCAAGGCAGAAGGCCATATCCAGATTCTGGGTACACCGACCAGATTGGGTTCTATAGCCATGTTCTGACATCCAACAAGAATAAACGTGTCCTATAAATTGAATGTAAATGTTAGTCACAGGAGGCATGAAATCACGTCCAAGAATAATCCAGGGAACTAAATGCACCTGAAATAAAAGGCCTTCTGCCTCTTTTCCTGGAGCCTCTCTTACAGCTCCCCAAGGCATTGTCACCATGGATTCTTTTGACCGTCTTCTGGTAATGTGGGAAGGATCTGTGTTCAGAGCCAATTAGAGCTGAATGAACAGCCCCGGCGCCCGGCACCCTACAGCCTCTGGGCAGGCAGCACTAACTACCATGAACAGGTATGGGGTGAGGAAATGGGAAAGAAGGGGAAGTAGAGTGGTTCGTGCACTATGGAGAGAGGCAGAACTGAAGACAGGACAGTAGTGAGGAACAGGCTGATATAGGCAGCCTACACTGCCACCTGGGGCCATGTGATGTCCCAGCCTGGGCTGCTGCTTCTGAGAGCCAGGTCTGGGTCATTGGCTCTGCTACAGCTGGAGTCTGTGTTGATGTCAGTGGCCCATGTTACCACTGAAGGCCATTCAGATGCCCATAGTCTGGGCCACCACCTGAGGCCCTGTTAGTGTCCGAAGGCCATGCTATCACTGGGGTCATACTGATCTGAGTAGACTTCACTGCCACCCAGGGGCATGGTGAGGTCTGGGTCATAATTGTGGCCAAAGGCCATGTGTGGATCTGTGATCCTATCACAGTCAGGATCTGTGTTGATGTCTGTGGCCTGTGTTTTGGGGGGCCATATCCTGGCCCTTGCTGGCTGCCTCAGTGGGAGATTCCCCAACCCTAGAACTGGCCCTAGTAGTGCAGGAGTGAGAGAGCTATCCCTGATCCTCAATGTCCTTGAGAGAATTGTACCCTCCCCACCCCGTGCCAGCCTATCCTTCATGGTGCATGTAAGAAAGCTGGCCCAAACGGCATGGGTACAGGGGAGTGGGCCCTGACCCTCTCCTGAAGAGGGCAGTCCCAGTGGAGGCCCCAACTGACCAACTCAGCTGCCACCCAGGCCCACTAGAGATGGCCCACCTCAACATCTACCCCATCTATGACCTGCTGGAGCTCATGAAGACACCAGTCCTGTGGAACCATAGCCCCAAGATCTCCATGACTCGGGGCCACAGCAGAGTATCTGAGAGGGGTCTCGGTGAGGGTCCAGTATCGACAGTGTACCAGAAGCCAGAGGCCTTGAACCGGACCAACAACTCATGGCAACGAACATTTGCAAGTAAAGCTGCATAGGCAAAAGGGTGTACCACATGACCCACCACAGCTCCCAAGGCCACTGCAACAAATGAATATGAGATGGAAAGGCGGGAAAGACCAGGCTCGAAGTGATTTTTTTGTTTGTTGTTGGTTTGGTTTGGTTTCTTAATTACTTTTTTATTTTTATGTTATTTGTTGGAGGGTGCACACAGAAGGACTGGGAACTGAGTGGGATTGGGTTGCAGAATGTGAAATTTCCACAGAATCAATAAAAAAATTATGTTAATAAAAACAAACAAATGAATCACACACACACACACACACACACACACACACACACACACACACAAAAGAGCTGAATGAATTGCAGTATGCACTGACACTATCGTGTACTACATAACACAGCAGGACGTGGCACAGGTCAAAAGTGCAGAAAAGCACCTGGTAACCCTCCTGGGTCAATGAAGAAAGCATGGCCCTCACCTCAAACAGGAGAAGAGATTATTTATTCTGGAGCCAACTATGAGAAACCATGGCCTGGGACACAGATTTAGGTTATTCCAAATCCCGTGTTCCAATACAGAAGCCGTTTCACAAAGTTTTTAAAGTAACAGAACAAAAGAAGTCATAGATCAAGACTGCTCAAATACATTGGTGGAAACATCAGAGAGGTGATTATGGCAAAGCAGAGACCCCACAGCTAGAGACCTGGGACTGCCTTATGACATTCTTAGCTTTGGGACAGAAGCTTGTAGCTGGCTAACTTAATATTTTCTGAAAAATTTTTAGCTGTTAGCCACAGGATATTAGGCCTGACACTGAGGTGGAGGAAGGGCTATTTAGAGGGTTAAGGATGGCCCAAGATAAATAGTCCTCAGGCTCTGGACCTACAACAGCTCAACTTCTCTGTATCACTGCAATTCTAATCAGTCAATCAGCTTTGGCAGGCACAGCTTCTTTCCAGGAATTCTCATTCACATATGTAAGGGAAGTAGCTCTGCAGGCAGACATAGCCTGGGAGAATGCAGCTTGAACACTTGCTGGGCAAGTTACATATGCCTTATGAATCTTAGTCTCTTTATCTGTGCAGTGAGGCTGGGATTCGTTCTCATATCGTGTTCTCTCATCTCCAGAATAAAAACACATTAAAATATTTTTATAACATGGAGCAGGTTCAATATCACCTAAATTAAAAAATATTATAGGTGATTAAAGGTACCAATGTATGTAAAGAGTTTTGAAGTGATAAAGCACTAAGTGAAGCTGAGGTATCATTATTTTAATTATGCAATTATACAGGAGCAGAATTACCTCGTGGTTGGTTCTATTACTTCCTGTGCTGACACTCAAATTTGAATTCCCAGGGCCAGTCCCAGGAGGTGCCTCCTCCAGGGGACTCTCAAACCTCCATTTTGCAAAGGAACTTACCACCTGCCCTTCAAATATGCCCTATGCCTTCCCCTTCCTCCCCTCCTCCCTTCCTCCCTTCCTCCTCCTTCCTCCCCCTCCTTCCTCTTCTCCTCTCCCTCCTCCTCCTCCTTTCCTGGCATTTTGGACAGAGTAATCTTCTGATTTTATGACAGAGTGGTCTCCCTGTCAATGCAGATCAAGGTGGTAAAATGAGCTGAGGAGATCACCTCTGCAATCAGGGGTGGGGGTGTCCATACCATGAAATCTTGGAGTGGGAAAGAAAAGAAACAGTTTGAAATCTTGAAGGAGTGAAGAAAAAAAAAATATCCTGGTACCTTGGCTCAGGTCTCAGCTTCACCCACTGTGCCCATTGTCTGTGAAATAGCAGTGGCACTGATCACATGGCCTAACATAGTTGACTGTCTTCGAGAAGCTGTCCTTATGCTTACACAGTTGTAGATGAAGTAGCTGAACGTGGATCCTACCAGCTCATTGTGACGTGTGTAAACAATGCTTGTCATTAGAGAAGAGAAGCATCAATCGAGGAGAAAATTTCCTGCTTAGGAATTAAAATCATTCCCCAGGCTGTCAATATCAAGGGAGATGGTGGTTTGGGTCCTGCCACCCAAAAAGGATAGAAAATACGGATTTGGATTCTCTCTGGATTCTCTTTTCTGTGTTCAAAGTGGTCATCTTCTGGGATGTAGTCAGTCACCTGTGAATTTGGATGCTCACTATCCATGTCACCCAGGTGAGCTAAGTGCTGGGGCTCCTGGGCAGCAGACACTATGACAAACATCTGTTACTTACCAACTGCCTGCTTGCACTTCCTCACCACCGTTAGGGTGGGAATGGAAGTTTAGACTTAAGGAGAAGGCTTCGAAACTTAGCAAAACAGTAATCTCACATTACTGCTGTTCCTGTTGGGAATTTGCAGGGAGCACCCCATGTTGGAGATCTCTAGAGCTGCCCTCTCCAGACCCCGGCCCTGAGAAAGTCTGCCAAGCAGCAGCTCCACCCAGGGTGGGGGAGGGGGGGTAATACTTAAGGTCTGGCCAAGACTTCCCCTTGCAGTTTCCCCTCATGGGTTCTCCTACTTCCTGGGACCACCCGGGAATGATCTGCTCAGATTAAACCTGGACTTATTAATTTGGCCTGATCTGATTTACTGTGTTGGCTGCGTCGCTCATGACCAGGGGATTTATTTTTCCTATCATCCATAATAACCAAAAATAATTTGACTAATAATTATGAGTATTTTCCATTTAAAACAAATATTCATTTTTGTTCCTAATGGTGTATGAAAAGGTTTATATAAGTGACAAAATTATATGTTCCAAGTCCTAAGCAACAGCAATTCATAGCAACTGTTCCTTTATGATTGCATAATAACATTTTTTCACAAATGTCCCTAGCGTTTGGCACTGTCGGTATGGAACTTCCGATCCTATCGCTTGCTCCTTTCCCCCTCCACATGACAAACACGTTCAGATTTCAAGCCCTTGAGAATGCCTCTAAATCCGACCCATCTGTCTTGGTCACTGTTCTCTTGTAAAGAGACACCATGACCAAAGCAACTCTTAGAAAAGAAAGTATTTAATCGGGGGCTTGCTTACAGTTTCAGAGGCTTAGTCCATTATCAT